TCTGAGTTAGACTTTCCCGTGAATTCTCCAATTCTCCGATTGTCCAGCTCGGCGCTAACTATGAACACAGCCTAAGTGTCCTCACTTATTTCTGCGCTTGGTTAGGCTGAGCTCATTTTATTGAGCAGTAGTGGTGAAAAGTAAAGAATTTGGCGACGTTACCGCTTTTTAGGAGAGATCTCAAGAAAGGCGACTCCAAGTAGACCTCATGTATGGTCCTAGGTTTGGTGTCCCTGCTGATAGTAAGACGAAACGTCTTACCCATAAGCTAACAAACTTGTGATAAAAATGTTTTATTTTGGGAGTGATAAACATTTATATCTAGACAGCATAATACAGAGTATGATATTGAAAATTATGAAATTTTGGTTCAATTCATTCGAAGCGGTGCAGCGCTGAGATGAAGAAGTGGTGAGCATGATAGACTCTCGTCGTTTGCTGCTGCTAGATTCACAATTGAAGGTGTTTAGAATGGATATATACATGATATGGTACAATTTTAGATGGAAATATCCTAGATAGGGTTGAAGAGTAGCTCAATTTGCATTGATGCCAAGTCAAGGGTCGTTTGCATCAATTTGGTGCTTTTTGATTGATCCAGCACGGAAGCCTAAATGGAAAACATATCAGTAGAGAAAAAAATGGCTATGCAACCAACCAGTCCACTGAAATTGTAAAAATGCTGCTCGCTCAAGAATTGCCTGAGACAAGTATGAATCTACAGTCTTTGACACAATTTACTTTTTAATGCCTCCAGTCTATTTAAAATGGCACCAGTTTTTACCTGGTTTTTTTCCTTGGACGTAGATTTGGCATAAGATTTGCCGCCCGCGCCACTAGCGCTGGTGGCAAAGTGTGCTAATCTTCGCTGAAAATTTGTTTCAAGGTTGGCTTGAGCTCCTTGACACGAATATCATATTTGGCAAGAAACTGCCTGTTGAGCAGGTATGATATTCATATTCAGAAAATTAAACTACCTTAGGAGAAAAGTTTTCAGCGGATTTGGTGATCTAGTGTATTTTGGCGCTGGGGCCTGTGGCGCGGGCGAAAGGCAGTTTGCGCCAAGCGACTGTGATATTCGTTTCACAGGCACAACCATGGGGGACACCTTTTCAACGAACTTGGTTGTTTGCACATCCCTACAGCAATATACTGTCAGACAGCATTGTCTGACATCGTCCCACGAGACAGACTGGCTGTCGCCCACCATTGTCTGACATCGTCGTCAACGTGTTAGCGATGTACGGCTTGCTGACTGCGGTCGCCCGCAGGCGCACGCTTCATTGCAATGCAGAAAATAGTAAAGCTTTTCCAATAAAATCTAAATCGAGCTCTATAGCGCGGAGCACCCAGCTCGTACCCTCTAGTTTAGGCAAAAATCCTAATACGGCCTAGCCCACAGTCGTTTCTTTTACTTCAGAGTGGAATTTTTGTTCTGGTTACAATTGTCCTAGGTTTTCTGCACCAATGCGTCCCACAATAGCATAAACTGGTGTCTGTAACTCCTTCCAAGAGTTTGAGCACTTACCATGTTTTCACGCCCGAGGAAGTTCATCAGCGCCAATAGATTACCGTCTCTCATCCAGTCCAACACCTCATGTCTCACACTCAACGGATATCCTGGCGCCAGCTGCAAAATTGATAAATCGCGCTAGTTTGTTGGAGGATGGGCAATGAGCAGGCCGACGTGGCTACGCCCATCTTCTGTTCGCCTGCGCTGTTGCCGACGTCAACCGAACTATGCAGGCAGCATCTCATTGAGAGGACGTGGACGAACAAAAAACGGGGCGTAGCCTAGTCTCGATCCCGTCGATAACCTCCATGTAAGAAGCGCAGTTTGTATCTTACCGCTTGCACGTTCTCTTGCAGTTTCTGATACTTTTTTAGAAGAGCTTTGAGGCGATCCAGCTGCTCTGTACTGCACATTTCTCCAGCCTGAAAACGCAGCGAATGCGCAGTTTCAACGATGCATCTTTACCAGAATACCTTCTTGATGAGTTCCTCGTAGGCTCCACCAATGTTTGCACTATCCACCTGTTTTTGGATTTCTGCGAAGTAAGCGTCGTTCGTCTTGAATTCCTGTTCTAGCTTAGCAATGCATTCTCCCTTTGGCGCCGTGGTGACTTTAGACTCCTTGAATGGTTTACTAGTTAAATTTCGTTTCATGAAATCCTCGTAGATGAAAGGAAGATGGCTGGGTATTTCTAGTTCAGTCTTCAGCAAGACTGAGCTTTGCTAACCGCTGGAAAATGTGATGGGGTATCAAAGGAGACCTTATGGACGGTGGTCAACTCGGATTACATGGGAATTTTCGAGGACCGACGGGAGACCCCTGGAACTTCAGAGACTAAAAAGACAAATACTGGTCGTATGGGCAAAGTGATCCACTATTGTGCCTTGCACTATCTCCTCTCTACCTCTCCGAAGAGAAGGACTCACCATTAAGGAAAGTCTACACCCACAACCAGCGTGGAACGTGCTAATTTACGTTTTCAGGCAGTTTGGTACATTTCAGCTAAGAACTTCCCATGTCCCATTGAGGGATGGGACGGTATCAAGAAAGATGGCATACTCGGAAAAATATGAAAAATTTCAAAGCTCACCGATAAAAGTAGATCAGAAGCTGGTACAGATTCAATGGGATGTGCTGTTCTCTGTAAAAAAGCACAGAATATGACGAGGACTGATTATTTGTATGATGCAGTAAATAAGCAGTTAAAGACAGTCTCCGCACTAGAGCGAATCGCAGGCGTTTCCCCATCCAGCAAAATTCAAAGGCTGTTTCCTGTCACCAGTTCAGTTTTGACAGTTTTCGTCTCACTGTTAAGTGGCATTAGTATGGATGACGAAAAGAAACGATTAGAAGCCAGAGGCGGTAGGATGATCTTTTGCTAGCTTAGAAAGGTCAGGTCCGGAGAAATCGTCTATTCTGGATAGGCAGCCTCAGTTCGGGCGTTCTGAAGGATTTTTTTTTGCTTTTTTTCTTCCTTGGAGAGTTGTTTAGCGACCATAAAATCGTAAATGACCGCACTATATTAGATTGGAAAGAAAGTCCTGCGACACTTTGATTAAATTGTTCTAGAAAAAAACCAAAGAAACATTCTGAATGTTTTCATCCCTGATTAGTGGAGAGTGTCCTCTGAGGTTCATGCAGACCTGTATATCATGACTTTGTGGAAGCTTTCAAAGCTCCCCCAAAGGTCAAAGGTACTTTTCGACCTGTCCGATGTTGTGAGTAGAGCCATTCTGCCGCAGTCGAATAAGCTAAGTTCTGCGTTGTCTTAAGGAATGATATCGCTTGCCATGGCAGAGATTAGCGTTTGCATCAGCGCTTCCGAGCTATAAATTATTCAATTCGAAGGTAGCACCAACGGTAGAAGATACGCGCCACATTCGGGCACAAATGACCGCCGTTCACTCGAAATTCTGGAAGGCGCAGTTGAACGTAACCACCAGTAAGTTGGACACTAAGTGACAACTGCCATGCTTCTCCGCAATCTCGATTGTAAAGAAAATTTTTCGTGGAGTATGCCTCATGAGTTGGACCAGTCTGACAAATCACACCGGATACAGTGATTGAGTTTTCTTTCCCTTGTATACGACGGAAGAGCTTTTGTGAGATCTGGCGGATGGTAGCGAGTGTTGGAGTCCTTGCTTAAACTACGCACCCAACCCTCACAGGATCTTTCAAGGATTTGAAAGTAGATTACTTAAGCCTAAAAGCATGAAGACCATGGCCAATTTCGACATAAATGTTAATTCACTCCTCTGAATTGTTGGTCTCAGAGCGGTGTTCGTATCTAAGTATTCTTTCGTACTTGCCCGGCGACAGAACCATCCCCGTCGCCTATTGGTCTACACTAATCAACATCAAAACATGAATCGGACTCACGCCCTGAATTCATCACTAAAAACACATTCTTTCTTTCTATCAGCTCGTCAACCTGCTTTGCAGCACCGCATAGTGAGCGATTAGTTGAATGCGCCAAAAGATCATTTGGATCTCGATTAGGGTACCCATCTTATTTATTAGGTTGTCCGGAAAGTTCTTAGCGTTTTGGGTGTTTAACTTTAAACGATCATAACTTTCTTAACACTCATCGGATTTAATCCAAAAGCACCATTCGAATCAGCACACTTTTGCCAATGTGGCAGCAGTCGGAGGGATAAGTCCCAATTCAATGATAAAACTGTGGTCGAGAATCCCACGTGAAATACTGCGAAAGTCTTTTTTGCCTGGTCCTGTTGATGAAGTATTTCTCTATTCAGAGAAAGCTTACTGGGATTAAAATGTCTGAAAAGGGTGACAGTCGGTTGGCTGAAAGGTCTTCTAGATGATTATGGTGGGATGGAGCGTCCCGAACTCCTCACACCGGCTCCCAATTCGTCAATTTAATGCGCTCGATATGCTTATATTTTTTGTGAAAGTGTTTGCGCGGGCGTTGCCCTCATGGCCAAAAGACAGTCGGACCTTTCTTTTGATTAAGGTGTTGCTGACAGCTGACACTTTGCTCTATATATCTCCCACGTTTTGAATTGAGATTACTTAACATAGACAAGAAGGTATAGGACCGGCTTATTTTTCGGCTACATTGTATTGGTCGTTTCGACAGTAGGCTTTCTGCTGTGATGGTTTGGCCTGGTGATGAAAAGTTATAGTGGATTACAACAGCCGATGACCACCAAACCTGACCAGAATTTTTTTTTCGCGAGGGTTCGGCTTTGAAAATTACCTCGGTGGTTCCTCCAAATCCAACCACTGTCCGGAACGTCTCCTGTTATCATACATGATCCATTTTTCATCACAGGTGACAAATCCGTTCAAAAACGGGTCAATTCTTTTGCGCAAAAGCAGTGAAGAAGGAACCTCGAGACGTGCCGATTCCTGCCGGTCACTCCGAAATCCTGTGCGGGCACGGGCGCAATTAGTCGAAGTTTTTTCACCTTCCCAATGCGTTCCAGACCATCTGCAACAGTGGATTTGCCAAGGCCTAGCTCTTCTGCTATCTCTCGAACTGTTTGGGATGGGTCAACCTTCAAAATCCCCCTAAAATCCTCGTCAGATATTGCTTTAGGTCGACCGCTATGAGGCTCACCTTCAAGGCTGAAATTTCTCCAGACGAAATTTATTGAGCCATTGCCCGACATGCAGTGCTTTCTTTAGCCACTATCGGGCCCCACACCTTGGATTAATTTGTATGAGTGTTTTCTGATTGTCCGCGGATTGCCCCAATTTATAGCGGAAGAAAAAAATCGTCCGAAGTGCTCTTTTCACATGCTTGAAAAAATCTTGAAAAAAGAGGGTTTATCAAGCAATGGTGAAACGGCAATTATACCATCAGATAGCGCAAGAAATTCTCTACAGGATGTGCTACTGAGAAGCAAGGCAGAATGAGTTTTTAATCAGCAGTGAATGTACAAAGATTAGGTGCACAAAACGCTAAGAACTTTCCGGACAACCTAATACAATCGCGTTGTTCGCCTGTAAGACAATTTGGTATGCGACCGAACGCGGCGTGATAGTTGGATCGGTTTCCACAGATTATATATGTGGTGCAGTCGTTGGAACTGGCATCGGAATATATCGACTAGGATTTATGGGTGCTGAATGACGACGCGGTGATCTGGTTTGGACAATGTCCTAGCCTAAACCTGTTATTCTTGACTATAAAAGGATTTCAGTAAAGCTGAAGTCCAGGTGGGGTGAAGCCTGTAAACAAGAAGATTCTGTTGCACCTCTGGACTTTCGACTGCTCGAGATATGGATAGGATGACAGTACCAATGAGCACAGTTTACCGCATCTCTGTGGAATGGTAGTCTTACAAATGCTAGGAACCTACCCATTTCTTTCGGTTCTCACGATTATTTTTCATATCTGATCAAGGCGGAAAGCTACCTGCGGAAGTGCATAGGGTCCCTATTCACGTAAGAGTTACCTGAAGGGTATCCATTACTCGAATAGGGACCCTATGCACTTCTTAATACTGACGCAAAACGGAAGGTTTATCGGCATAGGAGACAAGATGAAAGGCAGCGTTCACACTTCGCGAGAGCAGCGGCGATCGCTGCGATCGCCTCTGCTGTCGCGAAGTATGAACGCTACCATAGAGTGTAGGAACAGAAGAAGCTGAGAGGTTTTCAAAGGTAGAGAACTCAATGGTTTTTGTCCCTGCGCAGTTTTGTTAGAAAAATTTGAGCGTCAATGTGTCCTATCCCTCTGCTGAAGGAGATGAAGGAACTGAGGCATAAGGCTATGTGTTCAGCTCTTTTCTGCTTTTCGCACTCTTTTCTACTCGTGCGAGCCTTCCTACCAAGCTAGTAATCTCCTCCACTTTGGGAGCGCAGACGGACAGGAGAGGAGAATTTAACCTCACTGCCCCCCCCCCTAACGCAGTTAGCCCCATCCTGAACGTCACATTTGGTATAAATAATTCGGGCAAAACAGTAACAATATACTTACAATATCTCGTCTGGCTGCTCTCGATGGATTCAACCCGGGGAACAACTTGCTCTGAAAATATGACTTTCAGAACGATTCGCTAGTAATAAGCTTTCTAATTGTACAATCTGAAGTGAAAAAACCACACTCATGACGGTATCCGAAAGAGGGATCGATATCAATCGAAACAAGAAAACGCTACAAAGTAGGTAGTATAATAAGTATAAGATCAGAAGAGTAAGTAGAACGAGTTCAAGCATTCGCCTATCTCCAGCGACCAAATAGGGAAAATATTATGTTGGCTTGTAAGTGATGGCGTTTTTCCCTTACACAAATTTTAAAATGAAAAATGAGAATTGTTTCCGGTGCGTTCTATACTGTTTGATAGATGATTTCCTACTCTACGAAAATTGACGAAAATCAGTAGAGTTGCCTTCCTACTATTTCTTGATTTTCGTCAATTTCTTCTTGATAGAAATGGAATGTCGGGTCGACACAGTTTTTGACAACAGCATCTTGCGCTTAATCTAGGCTCTCAACCGCAGAAAACTCTTTAAACATGTGATGTCTATGAGC